ACTTTTCTGCAGAATATACATTGTAAATATATGTATATCAATGGTTTTCGACTCCTTTTGGAGTTACATGAACCTATCAAAACAGACATGAGTTCATAATTTATAGACTTCTTTTTATTTACTTCTTTTTTAATTTATATATCTTTTTTTTTTTATTTATTTACAAGTTTATGTATTAAATGTTCTGCCAAGTGACATAGTGAATAAGTAAATCCTCGAAAATGAAAGAATGCCAGCACTATGAAAGGAAAACGGTCATTGTTTTCATTAAAACGAACCCAACGGTCGTCGAATCGCTAAAACCTATTAAGTATTTGTTATCTAAGCTTTCTTATACATATACGTCACAGAATGTCCAAAAGAACTTAAAATAAAACAAATCTGTAATCGCAGGGGGTTCACCTTGCAGGGCACTGGTGCAATAGTAACAAGTGTCAATTGTAAAACCATGATGCAATGACAAAAATAGGTTATAGGTTGGACTTTCTGTCCATTACTCCTTTTGTGAAAGGCGTTAAAAGGTTTTAAAATAGCTCCTTCATGGCCATAGGAACTGGGGGGGGGGGGGGTAAAAATTTAAACAGCAATATTTTTTTTAATCATGAGAATTGAGTCCTGATCGGATGAAAGTATCGCACAATTTAAAACGTTGGGGCCATTAATGTAAATTTTGAGATATTGCTCAAAATTTGAAAATTTCATGGTTAAAATGAAGTTTATGTCCACTATACAAGCAGTTTTTGGCATTTTTAGTATGTTAAAAAAATGTTCTTAGATCACTTGAGACCTACATTGAATATTCCTAGCATATGAAATTGTAAAAATTTCTATGAGTAAAAATATACAGGCCAAAGTTCTAACATATTGAATACTAATAAAAACATATGAGTATATTGTTTGAGAATTATTCTTTAAATGTGAGATTAAACACCATCAACAACCAGGAAATAACAATCAATGGAAGTATGATGGAAGACCTTGACACCTTTGTCTATCTTGGTGTAACTGTGAGTAATGAAGGAGGGGCAGACAGGGGGATACAGAGAAGACTGAGTCATGCCAGAGTAGCCTACAACAGACTCCAAGATATGGTCAAACAACCAATTTTCAACAAGGACCAAATTAAAGAAATTCAAGTCAATTGTAACATGTATCTCTTTTGCTGTATGGTGCTGAAAACAGGGGAGATGAACAAAAAAGATGAAAAAAAATACTTGACAATTTCCTCCATAAATGCCTGAGAAAGATTATGAGGATGTTTAGGTCATTGAAATTCACAAATAAAAGAGTAAGAGAACTAGCAAACATGGAAAAGATCAAGAAACAGGAGATGGAAATGGATAGTACATGTGCTGAAAATGAGAACAGATAGTAATAATAGAATAGCATTAATGTGGACACCAGGGGAACGGAGGAGACAAGGAGGACCAAAGGAAACATGGAGAAGAACCGTAGAAAGAGAAGGGGAATAACTTGGAAAACAGCTTTGGAGTGATGCTGCCGTCAAAGCCAAAGATAGATCAAAATAGAGAGGACTAATCCATGGCCCGATTTTAACAGACAGATACGGAATTAAGTCAAGTTAATCCTTCTACCACATAAAGAATCCTTCGTATTTCTATTCGATTTTGTGAGCGATTTTAATTGGATGTTGTATCATTTGCACTACTTGAATTAAATATGGTATAAAAATTGCATTTGATATTTTTAATATGAGAGGTTCTGACCAAACTTTTTCCAAAAGTTAATATGTGACATACTTTGACAGGCATTTAAATGCAAGCGTCCTTGAGACAAGGATAAAAAAAAGGAACATAGGTCCTTACCGGGTCAACCGATTATTGACACGATGCACCTTAAGCAAATCAGCCAATGATCCACTGAATTATGATTTAAAGGATTGAAAGGATTATAATAAAATACCAGCAAGATTAATTCATACGAGGACAGGTGAACTGATTTTAGTTTTGCTTTCTTTTTTTATAGACGCCATATTGCTAAAATTAACAAGCTTATCTTTTAAAAGGATAGGTGAGCTTACGCTGTAGCCATCATAAAACACAAAAGTAGATATCTGAACCATTGGTTTAATTTGCAGAATCGATTAATTAATAATAGGAAGGCACAGTGTTGCACTGGGGGTTTTGTTGGAGGGGGGTCTCAATTCAGAATGGTGAATTTAGAGTGGACCTCACTACATCTGCAATGGCGTAACTCATTAGTTGTGCTTTAAGCATTCTGTAGTTTACTCTAATTTCAATTTTGAGGTGAAAAATAAGAGATCAGTAGAACAAATGAGCACTTAGTTTAAATATTCCGATGTGGTACTGTTTTGTAGCAATCTCATCTTCTCGGGCCTTTCCGGCAAGCTCGGAAAACATATCCGAGATTGTTTTTTTCCGAGCTTGCTTGAAAGACTACCAGGAAGGTAGTTAAGAAAAGCTAGGTATTTATCATAAGTTTAGAAATAACTAATCTCTACAGTCTTGGCATTATAAGACCTAAGTTACTTTTACTTTTAGTACATTTATGACAAACAAAACACAACACGAAACTTCAGATCATATGTATTTTCAGATGATAAAACGAAATTACATGGTACAGTTTATCTTTTAATTAGTAGTATTCCCAGAATGTCCTACCATGAAGTCGAGCATGCGTATTCCAGTAAAAAAGACTAACGTAGTTTACTAACGCTCGAGAGCGCAAGCAAATAAAGGTATAAAAATTCATACAAAGAACAATTCATGGGTAACATAAAAAATGAATTCATTAAATCTCTTTAACATCACTACAACAATGACACCCCTCCCCCAAATAAAAACCAATAACTATTTTGATTATCTTTGGGTTTAAAATGTACTGGTTCAAACGTTACTATGCTTTAATTGTTTCAATTCTAAATATACAAAATAAACTAAAATTAACTTTATAGGAGAAAAGGTGCTGCGTATAAAAAAACGTTTTGACCTTGCAGTCTCTAAGTGTAGCCTGTGGTCGCGGAGTATAATTATGGTCAAGAATCATTCATGAACTTCTATTTATGATTCAAAAGCACCCTATGGGGTTGCATTTTTCCCCCAAGTTTTGGACAATAATTCCATTACTAAACCCAAGAAATTGGTTAACTATAGTCTAGATTTATTGGAGTACTTGTTAATGAATGTGAATTGTAATCCTTTAAATTGCTGCTAAATACAGAGTGCTTTCACACTAAGAAAACAATGACCAGTGTCTTTTAATGTCCATTATTCTGCCATTGGACACTGTGCGCTGTTTTATTTTCGATAAATGGCACTATTTGTATTACATTAAAGAATATAATGGAAGATTTAAGCCTAAAAAATAATTTGGGATTTATCCCAGTCATAGATTATCGCAGCATAATCGAAAAAACGTTAATCTAATATATAAAGAGAAATATCATTTCTAATTATAAAGCATTTATAGATTTCTCCGAGAAATGGGTGAGATGATTTTATCTTAGGAATATAGGAGAAACACGAATAACTGGGAGTAAAACAGGAAATTATATTGTGACACCATACTAGAAATCCAAAAATTCAAAAGTGAAACATAGGAAACAAATTTTATGTTAATGTTCACGTTTTGGCCTCCCGTGCAAGGATTTGACAACAAAATGGGTAGAATTTTTTACGTAGATTTATGATTGATTAATAGAGATGTACGTATAACAACTCTTTGGAAAACAAAAATTGAAATCAGATCACATAAGAGTAATTCAAAGATTTCCAAAAGCATTATGATGAAAAAAACTTAGAGATGGCAATGGTGTGATCGTCAGATAAATTGTATTCAATTTTGCAAAATTCATTTAAGAGCCACTGAAATCAATTATAATTTTGTGAAATTTCTATGACCTTATTAAAATTAATGCTGGAAATGTATAAAGAAAAATAATATTTTCTATGTTAATTAGAATCGTAGGAATCAAAACAAAAGCGAGCGCAGAAGAAAATAAGATTTTTTTTTAATCTTGAGAATTTAATTTTGCTCATAGACTCGAAATAAATTAGTTCTATAAATTAATCATAAAATGTCATATTACTTCTGGCTGAGGACAAAGATACAATTGTAACCCATATAAAGCGAGAAAATACCAACATCCGTCAAATTTCAGTGTTGTGTGTATCTACTCATGTTGTTGATGGATCAAATGAATACTATATTTATTTACCAGGTGGATTAAAACGAAGCGTGTTATTGCTTCTGGTCGTCGCAGTCGTTGTTTTAGGTGAGTACATTTCATTGTGAAACATGGTTAAATCAAACAATATACATCTTGTTCACGTGAGTATAATCACATTATTCAGTGTTCCTTCAGGTCTCATGTGTACATACAATGTATAATAAATCAGGAGAAATATGCCCCACTAAAATGTCAGTCAAATAATTCATGTGTACATACAATGTATAATAAATCAGGAGAAATATGCCCCACTAAAATGTCAGTCAAATAATTCATGAAATCCAAAGTAAAATGCTAAATTTTGCCAAATGTACATGTATTTGTAAATACATTAATAAACAGTAAAAAATAAAGTTTGCTGCAATGTTGCTTAGAACATATAATTTTTGTTGCAATGATGCTTAGAACATATTATTTTTGTTGCAATGTTGCTTAGAACATATAATTTTTGTTGCAATGTTGCTTAGAACATATAATTTTTGTTGCAATGTTGCTTAGAACATATTATTTTTGTTGCAATGTTGCTTAGAACATATAATTTTTGTTGCAATGTTGCTTAGAACATATAATTTTTGTTGCAATGATGCTTAGAACATATAATTTTTGTTGCAATGTTGCTTAGAACATATAATTTTTGTTGCAATGATGCTTAGAACATATAATTTTTGTTGCAATGTTGCTTAGAACATATAAATTTTGTTGTAATGTTGCTTAGAACATATGATTTTTCATTCCTTTCCACCCTTAATCAGGAGCCCCTGACAACAGAGGAACAGAGTTTATCATTGGTTTCATGGAAAATAATGGCGTCTCTATAAATGTGGAGCTCTTTGTCACCACCTCCCGCACCACCACTGTCAGTGTCACAGTGGATTCCCCCAAATGTAGTAACCCCAGCATCTCCGAGTCTTTCACTGTGACTGCGGGACAAGTCAAACAGCTGTTCTTAAATCCCAACATCAGGTTCAGTGAGACACTTGCATACGATAACTACATACATGAAGATTAGTTTCAAATTGAATGAATTATAAAAGACAATCTGGAAAATTTAAGAATTACCAGAAATGGGTTGCTTTATGCTTTGTTAATTTCTTATTATAAAAACCTACGATGTTACTATTCCAGAATGGCGGGATCCACCAAGTCCAGTAAAGGCGTCAGGGTCAGAGCCTCGGACGAAGTGGTCATTTACGGAGTCAACAAGGAGCGCTACTCCTGCGACGGTTTCGTCGGTCTGCCACTTGATGTACTGTCCGACGAGTACTACCTGGTCACGTGGTACCCTCCTGTTTACCAATGCGAATTGTTAATAGTAGGTGTTGAGGACTCCACTTCCGTTAGTATTACAGTAAGTCAACATATTGGAAGTACCTACATTAATTATGGTGGAAGAAAATACTATAAAGGAAACGTGGTGTCTGAAACTCTTAACAAATACGACACCTGGCAGTTGACCAGCAGTGGCGACCTCACCGGAAGTTATGTTACATCAAGCAAGCCCGTGTCCGTCTTCGCTGGAAACAAAAAGACCAGGATTGGCTCTGGTGGGTCTTCTGATCACTTAGTTGAACAGATGTTTCCTGTCAACACGTGGGGAAAAACCTTTGCTACAGTTCCCATCCCCAAGCGAACCGTTGGAGATTATTTTAAGTTTATAGCCAGCGAGAGCAACACAAGGGTGACGATCTCTGGTGGATACAGTTCAACATTCACAATAAGTAATGCCGGATACATGGTCCAGAAACTGATCTCTTCCTCTGCTTATTGTAAAATTGAAGCTGACAAACCCATCATGGTGGTCCAGTTCGTTCAATCTCAGCGGAGCTCCTCGGAGAAATCCGACCCTGCCATGTTGATTATCCCCCCTGTTGAACAGTACGGTGCCGATTACACTTTCACTACTCCCAAATACTCTCTCGGATCCTACAACAATTACTTCATGTTTATCGTCGAAGAGAGCAAAGCATCTGGATTACGAATCAACGGACAAGCTTTTCCATCGAACACTAACTACAACAAAATTTCAGGCACTTCTCTGGTCGGTGGATATATATCTATCTCGGAGGGAACCCACACCGTCAGACACACCTCTCCAATCGCCATTTTTGGAGGTTTCCTTTATGGGCAGGCTAATTATGAGACCTATGGATTCACAACTGGTATGCGAATGGCCAAAGTCAACTCAGTAAGTTTATTTAACGATTTCTGAACTGTTTTAAAGCGGGTTTTTTTTTTTTTGGGGGGGGGGTCATTTCACATTTTCAAAATGCTCCTTTTAGTATGAAATCAGAGTGCAGACGCTTATTGCAGATCATTATCATAAAATAATAGTGCACAGACTCCGTGTTACGTCCCAAACTGTGTATAGCGAATTTATTATTATTTTTTATTATTGAAGATCTTTACAAGATTTATTCCGTTTTAAACAACATATTAAATGAAATTCAAAATAGTGGACGTGATTATATATTCTCAGTATTACGGAATCAGAATTGAAGACACGAAATCAACAATAAATTTCAACAAACAAACCGTTTTCTTGCCGCCATTTTTTAAACAACATATTTACGTAGAACAGAATGACTTTCAGGGCTTCACGTGATCTAGTTTCAGCCGATCAATATTTTACAAATTTGTCTGAAGCGATAAAGTACATTATATATTTGAATATACAAAACGAGGGATAGATGAAATGTTTCGTCTCTTACATGAAATACTGAAGAATTGTCTATATAGTTTAAAAAACAACGTCCGTCATAAAGATCTTTTATGGAGCAAAATATATGAGGTAGGATATAAGTTGTGGAGATTTAGTTAATGAAACATACTCAAATCATTGACAACCAAATTAAATTTCTTAGGTTTGTATTCCTACGGCAACAGTGACTGGGGACGGTGTAGATAACGATTGTGACGGCAAGATTGACGAGGAACTGTGTACTCCGGAAAACCAAAACGCAGGTGTCCTGAAATTATATAATGCCAGTCAATAGAATTCCTTAAAGACGAAAGTAGTCTGCAGTTGATTTCTGTGTATTTTTGTTTTCTTTCTGATATTTTACATCCTTCTCATTTTATAATTTCAAGGTATCACTATGCATAAGCAATAAAGCGTTTATTGATAATAGCATTTTTATATGATGTATCCCCTGCCCTAATGATGATAATAACTACATTAATTTTAATATATTGTCAGATGATGACGGCGATGGACAGATTAACGAAGACTGTGCTAAACCACCACCTAGTAAGTCATATCGTAGAAATGAAGTATTCACATCTCTTTCTTATTTATTTAAATTTTATTCATTAATTTATTATTTATTTTGTGTGATATGTTTCATACCATTTGGTAAGTCATTGCTTTTATACTAAATTAACTATGGAGTACTCCGTATTCCTGATTAGGATATGGGCGCACGGCGGGTGTGACCGGTCGACAAGGATGCTTACTCCTCCTAGGCACCTGTTCCCACCTCTTGTGTCTCCAGGGGTCCGTGTTTTTGCCCTGTTCACGATTCGTTTTGTTTATTGGATTACCGGTCGTTATCTTCACTTTCTGCACATTAAAGAAACATGAGTTAATTAATTTTCATTTTTCCGCTTTAGTTGATGGTCAAAGAGCTTGTTGGTCTTCCCTATTTGTTTTTCTAAAACAATGTAATCTATTTTAGTTGACGGTAACTGGGCTAGTTGGACTTCATACGGCGCATGCTCAGTGACATGTCAACCAACGTCTGGCTCGGTATCTGGAACTCAAACCCGAACCCGAAGCTGTTCCAATCCTGCCCCTGCTTATGATGGACAACAGTGTTCGGGTTCTGGTAGTCAAACTGTGTCTTGTACTCCATCTACACCCTGCAGAGGTATGATTTTCGAGTTAGAAGATTTATAAAATTCATCATGTACATAATCAAAATATATGAAAAATGCTAAAGCTTGATGAAGAATCGAAAATAAAAATTTCTTTAAGAGCTAACCAGTAGAAGTACATTTTTCTTTTCTTCAAAATATATAGAATATTAAAATTTTCTCATGTTTTTCAATTTGAAAATAAAGTGAATGGAAACTGGGGATCTTGGGGGTCATATGGCGCATGCTCTGTGACTTGCGGAAGTGGCACAAAATCCCGCTCAAGATCCTGTAACAACCCTGCCCCGGCAGGAGGCGGAAACGACTGTGCAGGAAGTTCTACGTCATCAGCCACATGTACACTGAGTGCCTGTCCAAGTAAGCATCTCATAGCTTGAAGGGCCTTTCCATTTCACACGGTATTTATTTAAGGCCACAGTAAATAAAGTCTTTGTTTTATGTCCCCGAATTATGTTTTCATGAAAATTCGGTAAAAATACAAGCATGTGTTCGTCACATTTTCAACAATTTTTCCCTGTAATTTTGGAAATATTGGAATGCGTTCAGTTTTTGAAGGCTACATTATACTTATTCTTTGAAAGAAAAAGAACCAAATCAAAAAATCCCAAGTGAGAAAACTTTAAAGAAATTCAAGTATGTTGTATGCAGTTAATGCTATTGTGTGAAATGCACTTTATGGTGATTAAAGTACTTGAAAATGTAAAGAATACAACTTGTAACAGCCTTCTTTCTCAATTATTTGTCAACAGTTTTGTTAATTATTGAATTTGGTTTTTGAACTATATACATGTATGTTTGTTTTTAGTCAGACTGGAGGGTATCTTTTCAAAGAATTAAAGGGCATAAAACAGATATTGTTTATCACGGCTTAATGATGCTTTTAACACATCATTTGATGAAAGAGAATGTTATTATTGATAGATTAAATTTTCACGCTTTTTTTTTGCTAGTCTGTTGTGGAAGATATTTATTTTATCTCATACTTCAAAAATCTAAAACAATTATTAAACAAAATAATGTGTCATTCTTTTAAATTATGACAATCAAAGATTTTGCAAAATAAATGGTCAATTTACATTTTAGCTATGTTCCCAGTGGACTTCCATTTCATTAACTTTATGATTTTCGAATTAACTTCTTGAAAGGGATAAACAGAAAAAAATCGTAAAAGTGTTCTCCAATATTCAGGGCTCTAATTGGCGACTAATTTAGTCGTCATGGCACCTAAAAAAATTTCATAAGTCGCCAATTTGGCGACCATTTTAAATTGACTTGGCGATCGTCAAATTCCGGAAACTTTCACATTTTTAACATTTTTTTCTGAAAAAACGAAAAGAAATTTTAAAAAAGAGTAAATTATTTATATGTCGTGTTTTCTTAGGCACGTCAAGGGTCCCTATATTCTATTATCTTTTAAAGTTGGCGCCTCAGAAAAATTGCCTGGCGACTAAAAATTTGCATTGGCGACTAAATTTTTTTGATAAGTTGCCAGCTGGCGTCTAAATTTTAGAAGCCACTTAAAGGCCTGATATTATATGTATATAAGCAAACGTTATGAAAGATGTGTATTGATATCCTCAGTCGATGGTAACTGGGGATCGTGGGGATCCTATGGAAGTTGTACGGTTTCTTGTGGCGGAGGAACACAAACCAGAAGTCGGTCCTGCTCTAACCCCGCCCCTCAGCATGGCGGCAGATCCTGTTCCGGATCCCCCAGCTCGTCACAAAGCTGTAACACACATAACTGCCCAAGTAAGAGATTGAAAGAATTCAAATTGTATTCATTCAGTTATACAGAATATTTCAGAACATAAAGTGAATAAATTATTCATCAATCAAAATTTAACGTGTTTAAACGTTATTCAGTAATGGTCATGAACTCAACATTGCTTTATGCATTATATCAGTTGATGGAAATTGGGCATCATGGGGATCCTATGGATCCTGTTCCTTGACGTGTGGTGGAGGGACACAATCACGAAGCAGAACCTGTACTAACCCCGCCCCACAGTATCAAGGAAAGAGTTGTTCTGGATCTAGCACCTCTTCTCAAAGCTGCAACACGCATAACTGTCCAAGTGAGTTAATGACCGGTGTTAAATCATTAAGTGTAAATTTGTTGTTTCAGTAATTTTTGCAAAGCTAAGATTTATGAAAAGAATGATATAAAAAAAATGAATTCGTGTAAATTAAAGAACAATACTGAATATTTATTGCAGCCCGGAGGACCGGGCTGCTCTATACATATAAGTTTAAGTTTAGATGGATTGAGGTGGGAGAAGTTGTTCAGAATTAAAGGTTAATTATATATTAAAAAGATTATACATCAGAATGTTCTTTCCCTTTATAAATTACGAGATATACAATATATTTACTTTGATGAAGTACATTTTAAATATATATATATATGTTTTTCATATGTAATATACAAAGTTGCTTATCATTTACTATCGACAAAACGACGTCCCTTTTTTTAACATTAAATTTTACTTATGGCATGAAAACGTGCGTCACACACTTTGTGTTTTTTATCTATTAAGTCAAGTATATTTTTTTATGATAGATGATACATGTGTCTGATTCTGATTTATAGTTTATGCAGCTAACAGTTACTTGAGGATATGATAAAGTTTAAAATGGTGTCGTTTTTGTTCGATTTTCATTCGATTAGAACCTTTCCGTAAATCTGATCGACTATAGTCTCAATCATTCAGACGTATACCTTTATCACATAGGCACTCCCCAGCTTAATTGTTAAAAATATATATCTACTATAGTATAGTAGATATATATTTTTAACAATTAAGCTGGGAAGTGCCTATGCTTTATCACACAAATCGAAGCGATTTGATGATCAAGATTTTACTTCATTTATTTCCCGGGCGACAATTTATGGCAACATCAAAGTTTCCTTGTCATTATTAGTTGACGGTTTCTGGGCCGGCTGGGGATCCTGGGCTACCTGTTCAGAGACGTGTGGAGGCGGAGTCCAATCCCGAACACGATCTTGTAGTAACCCCACTCCACAATATGGCGGAGCTTATTGTTCAGGGTTTTCATCCGACACTCAAACATGCAACACACATAATTGTCCAAGTAAGAGATACAGTTTTGATGTTTTTATGCCCCCGGATCGAAAGATCCCGGGGGTGTATTGTTTTTGTCCTGTCTGTCTGTTTGTCTGTTTGTCTGTTTATCTGTTTGTCTGTTTATTTGTTTGTCTGTTTGTCTGTCTGTCTGTTGTCAACTTTAACCTTGCCCATAACTTTTGATTGGTTGGAGCTATGACTTTCATATTTCACATGTATATTCCTTGTGACAAAACCTTTCTTTGGGTACCATCATATTTGACCTTTTGACCTTGACCTTGGAGTTTGACCTACTTTTGCAAAATTTTATGAGACTTTAACCTTGGCCATAACTTCTGAACAGTTGGTGCTTGGGGTTTCAAACTTCACATGTGTATTCTTTGTGACAAGGCCTTCCTTTGGATACCAACAACTTTGACCTTGACCTTGGAGTTTGACCTACTTTTGAAAAACTTTAACCTTGGCCATAACTTTTGAACAGTTGGTGCTTAGGGTTTCAAACTTCACATGTGTATTCCTTGTGACAAGACCTTCCTCTGGATATCAACCACTTTGACCCTTTGACCTTGACCTAGGAGTTTGACCTACTTTTGAAAAACTTTAACCTTGGCCATAACTTTTGAATGGTTGATGCTAGGACTTTCATACTTCACATATGTAATCCTTGTGACAAGACCTTCCTTTGGGTTCCAACCACTTTGACCCTTTGACCTTGACCTAGGAGTTTGACCTACTTTTGAAAAACTTTAAACTTGGCCATAACTTGTAAATGGTTGGTGCTAGGGCTTTCATACTTCACAAATGTAATCCTTGTGACAAGATCTTCCTTTGGACACCAACCACTTTGACCTTGACCTTGACGTTTGACTTTTATTTAAAAAACTTTAACCTTCGCCATAACTTTTGAACAGTTGTATCTAGGTCTTTCAAATTTCACAGGTGTATTCCTCGAGACAAGACCTTTCTTTGGGTATCAACATTTCTTATCTTTTGGCCTGGATTTTGAGTTGCATTTGAAGAAACTTTAACCTTCGCCATAAGCTGCCATACGGGGGCATCAGTGTTTCACAAACACATCTTGTTTTCTTTGATACAGAAAAAAATCTATTCTTTAGATACCATTCATTTGCCTTTATCATTCGCCTTGTAGATAACACAAAACTTTTAGTTTTTATTATAATTTAACTATAGATTTGTTTTATGTACTAGTATTTATTTGACTGGTCTTCCATACAATTTTAAATATATATTTTATTAATTTACAATTTGTTGGTCGATAATTAATCTCATGTTTCTGATGAATGATAACTATTTTATCTTATTGAATCTGTTTTCTTAAAATCAATATCTTTATGTCATTAAAATGATCCAATAAAATAAAGCGTTATATTTTTTTAGTTAATGGAGCTTGGGGATCGTGGGGCTCCTGGGGTACATGTACCGTGACTTGTGGGGGAGGTTCACAGATGCGTTCACGAAGCTGTTCTAATCCCACCCCTCAGTATGGCGGTCTGTCGTGCCCCGGATCTTCGTCCTCCAGTCAGTCCTGTAACACTCAGAACTGTCCCAGTAAGTCAAATTCAAAGATACAAGAAATATACTTCTGTTTGATTGTTTAATGTTTGAAAGTGTTTAAAAGGTTCCTAACCCTGTATGTTCATTTAAATTCCCGTGCAAAAATGCACTTTGATTATGAAAGATGCCTTAGAGAATTAAATTTTTTATGAACAAAAATTGTGTCATTTTATCTGTTTTTATTGTGACATTTAGTTGATGGTGGTTTCTCTAACTGGGGATCCTGGGGCACCTGCACCGTAACTTGTGGCGGAGGAACACAAGTGCGCACGCGCAGCTGTTCAAATCCAACTCCACAATATGGTGGTGCACCATGTTCAGGGGCGACAAGTCAGAATCAAAATTGTAACACACAAGTCTGTATCAGTAAGTTAATTTCACTGCTGATTCCTTAGACTCTGAAGCCATACATTGATTTTTTTTTCTAGTCAACAATTTTTTTAACTGGAAACGTATTATAGCTTCATCTAGTCATGCCCGCCATTCCCCATACCTTTTTCTCTTGCTAGACACATCTTATCAAATTTATTTGTCTAATCATCAATTTTTTCTCTCGTTTCTTTGTGAACAGTTGACGGTGCGTGGAGTAACTGGGGTCCATGGGGAACCTGTTCTGTGTCATGTGGTGGCGGGAAATGGTCACGTGCTCGAACGTGTACCAATCCCAAACCAGAAAATGGCGGTAAAGAATGTTCCGGCGATTCCAGTGATTTGAATGATTGCAACGCTGAAGCCTGTCCCACCTTCGCTGCTGGAGCATATGTACAGGTTTGTTAGCCCAAAAATACATGTATTACACATAAGAAATACAATTGCCAGGAAGTCAAAGTATCTCCGGTCCTAGCGTAATTTGCTTTGATTTTTTTTTAAATTCTAACATATTAAGAGAGAGATTTTGTATCCTAGAACAAAGTTTAAGCAAAACTGAATTTTAGGCACAATTTGGAGTATCTATTGTGTACTACCTTAACAAACCAAAGTTCTGGTTCAGACATTTATATATCAAGTTTAAAGACATACTTGTCTTAGATAATAGAATTTTGGTCGATTTTTTAAAAAAGAATTAAACTATAACGTTTTCTTTGTTTATGCGTTAATAAAGGGGTTACGGACGCGACATTGCAAAAAAAAAAAAATAATAATAATAATAAAAAAATCCAAACCAGAGTAACGTAGTTATCTTTTTCAGCGATAAATACAACTGTTTATCACCACTTTAACAAGAAAAGATAATCTATTTTATATCTGTATTATAATTTATATGAAGTCGGTGAAAGTATTTAAAATATTGTGCTCATGGTCCTTACTTTACATTGATGGAAGAGATTTCTTACAAAAAAATGTCGAACAAATGGCTTTAGAGACAATAAATAAATAATTGAGGGTTAATGGGTTAATAACGGCAATATTAATATTCATAAGAAATAATCGGAAAAAAAATATTCAGTGGGTGTAATTCTCTTCACAGTTGTGCCCAAGCGGATGGTTTACCTGCCGGTCAGGTGGGATAACGTGTATTGACAAATCGTTCGTGTGTGACTGTTCAGCAGACTGTGACGACTTAAGTGACGAAACAACAACTTACGCCGGATGTTCTGGTACCATTCTTGGGCAGTGTGCTGCGGAAAATAGTTCCTGTAAGTCAAAAATAAAGACGGCATTTACAGCAATACCGTTGAACTACGGTATCTCGAATACTGATATCTTGAATACCATGGATATGTCAAAGCGATTTGGAGGTCCAAACCACTTATTCTTTATGCATTTTACCCGCGATATCTCGAATCTTCGGATACCTCTCAGTTTTTTATCGGTCCCATCGAGTTCGAGATAACGAGGTTTGACTGTATTTTGATTTTAAAGAGATCTTTTGTAAAAGATGATCAAAAGACAGTACGAAAGAAACAACAATTATAAAAACAGCACTAAAATGAAGTGACGAAGGATCAAAACCAAACACACTTCATTTACTTGAATTGACCGAAATAAAAATATGGGATTCCATAACATGCCGAGGGTAGGAATTAGGAATACATTTTACAGAATCCCTCTGCATTTGATAGTTACTGGTCTCGATCCTGTATCATTTCGTTTTAATTTTCCTTTTGTCTTCTTCGTAGACGACAATAGTACCAATCACTGATCTTCATATCTATTCCATTTCTGTCACGTTTCCGGAACATAGAACGAAAAAAGTTACTGAAAAATGAACATAACAATATCATGTTTAGAATGATGATGATAATTTGCATCAAATTTTGGAACAATGATGATAATTTATCAATAGATAGTAGATAATATCATGATAGATTTACTTTAGGAATAAGACAGTTACAACCTTATTTTTCTCTGACTAACAATATTCTGATTTCTTTACAGGCACCCTGCTGATGTCGCCGTTAGCTATTATGACCATGCTGTTGGCTTTGATTTTAAATGGAGACCATTAACTGATTCTCAGAAATATCAGTGCATTTATTTTTAACGACAAGATACTACATGTAACTCCAAGGAAATTACGCTCTGTCGTGATTCGTTGTCGCTTCTTTGTTATTCATAGATTTTTATTTGTCATATGCAATGTTATCATGACTGTATATTTACTTGTAGACAACTATTTGATTTTAAGAGGTGGGCCTAGTCTTTTTTTTTTTCGAATCGGACTACATGTATTTATTTTCATGCTAGTGAAAGACAAAATAATTTACAAAATAATCAAGGACAAAATATTTACTTTTTACTACACTTAAACAAGTCCAACAAGCAAAAAAAAAGGGGGAAGCAAAAATAATTGCAGGCAAGGACAGATTTTTTTTTTATTTTCTTGCCATTTAAAGAGCAGATTATTATTTTCAAGATTTTCGAGGACAGATTTACAAGTTTATCCCCCAAATCAACCACCCCCTCTCTACCCCTACAACTTCGCAATCAAATGGTCGTCCCCTTATGTTCAAACCTCGAATATATAGGAATTTTAATCGTCTGCCTCTCTAAACACCACTTCCTGTTTGCACCACTTCCAGTCAATACTGTTGGAGAGAAAATTGAACCGAACATTGATTCAATATTTTAAACATTTTGATGCAATAAGGAGTACTAGTATGTAACTCAGTCTAGATTTTTTGTTTTGTGCAATGTTTTTACGTAATGGATTACAAGTAATGAAATATGTGGAAATAACGAACAGTATTCGAGCTCAACAGTCCATTAAACAATACAAAATAGGAGCAGAGCAAACACTGACCTCTAAGACATCAGAGGTGGGATCAGGTGCCATGGAAGAGTGAGCATCCCCTGCCGACCGGTCACACCCGCCGTGTGCTCCTTGTCATGATATAAACAAATTTTACCGGGCCCTCAACATACTTCATCTTTAAAAAATATCATATGCATTTCAATCAAATTTCATGTACATGTAAACACCTTCACACTATCAACTAAGAAATTTCCATAGTGTTTCTTTAGAAGTGTTCTATCTGTTAAATCTACAAAAAGCCACTGTTTTGTCTAAAACACCAAATGAATTCAGATAAATACATACTTTATAATCACAGGTACTTGTGGACAGGACCCCCCCCCCCCCTCCCCCCCGATATTCAACCCCAGGGCTTGTTAGACATTTTTTTCACAAATTATATTTATTACACTTATTCATCATGTGTACCATAGGAAAAATCGTAAAAACCCCAAAATGATCGTTCCACACAAAAATACCCCACTGTACATTATAAGAGAGAAAGGTATGCCACTCCGGTTTTGATTACGTTGTACCCCCGCTGGTCTTTCTGGGTTTAAAAACATGTATTTATTTTATTTTAACTTTTTAAGGGAACGATTTTTAGAGATAGAACAGTTTTTTGGACTAGTTCAGGCCTGTGGGAAAATGAACCCCCTCCCTCAACATGTAATAATTTTGCCAGTAAATACTATACGATAGAAAACATAAAATGTAGCTACTTTATGGTTGTACCCGATTATTCTTTTCAAGGAATCTTTGTTTAGTTGTAACCCCCCCCCCCTCAACTGAAATTATTCCCCCTCCCCAGAAATTGCTTCTTACGGACATGTATGCAAGATCCAGAATATAACTTTTAAATTTAATTAATTCTTTTAATTTTGAATTCAATTCCCTACAAGAACGACATACATGTATTGTAATGCTAACTTAAATATAAATTTTGAAAATGGCTAAAGAAATTCGTGATACACGTAGTTGATTTATTAATACGGTATACATTTTAAATAAATGAAAATCCGATATATATGAATTTTTATGGTTTGGACTAGTCCAAAACTAGTCCAGTCCATAGAAGTAAAAACAAATCTTCGTTTAGCCACCCTGCATTTTAAGACGTTTTATGTTAATGTATTTTGTCACATTGTGGTGATTTTTTTCTTGAAGCTAAACATGTCTTTCAGTCTTACAAAATTAAACACTGCTGTAATATTTGATGCTAAACGTTTTCTTCATATCATTTAAAACTGTTAAATTCTGCTTTCGTTTCTCTACTTCGTCTGTTACCACTGTATTTCGTTGTACAGTAGTTCGGCGTTTCAGAGACCCTTTCATAGATTTTTATGAACAAACCTGCGGACTTTGAACACTATCTGATGTTTCAACTGAATTTAGTGGAAAATCATTCATTGTTCGCAAATGCAATAGCTGATTTAATTAAAAGTAGTATCACATACGAGTCGTATTTTTTGTCAGCAACTACTATTTTCTGAGCAAAAAGACATTTAAGCAACTTCTATTCAATAAATTTGTTGTACTGAAATTTATTAAGATTTAGCTATTCTGACCCCCATCCCCCAAAGTACAACGGAGTTGATGCAATAAAATGTTTTTCCAAGAGTATAACTGCAAAAGAAATATTTGAGACACAACAATATTTCAATATTTAAATGGAAGTTAAAGAGAGACAACAAAAAATTAAGCAAACATGTTTATTGTTAATTTCCTTACAATATTGAAGCATAAAATTTGTCTTAGGACTTGTCTTAAGATTTCTTATATTTAAGATAGTTTTGTGAAACAGCAGTGACAAATCTTATGATTATCATAAGTTACATCTTAAGATAATCTTAAGATCTGTCTTAGGACAAATGTTACGATAGTTTTGTGAAACCCGGCCCTGTCTTACATGAGTTTTTTTTTTCACATCAATCCTAAAAATCGATAAAACATTAAATTTTACTTTAAAAATTACCCCCATGTGTTTGTAAAAGCAATCATACTATGAAGACGGAAGTTATGAGCTCTGAAACGTAAAATAAAAAAATAAACATTTCATAATTAACAAAATAGAGCCTGCCATTACTTCCTTGAAATAAAAAAAAAACTAGTAAAATTTTTGCTCAATGGATCCTTAAAACAAAATCTCAGAAAATATTCTTTAAAAACTTACATGTACTTAAGAATTTAAGTAGTGGTATTTAACATTTTGTTAGAGGCGTTTTCAATTATTCTAAATGTTTTTTTTTAATCATAACATCATAAATTTAATTTGTTCTTTGTTTATGCTTATAATCTTTGTACACGAAGGTCGATTTTTTAAAATCATCATTTAAATGGTAAAAATTATTAATTTTGATATAATAAAATGTGTGACTTCCATATAAATGGTCGTTAAAATGCTTTTCTATCAACTATCTATTTTTGTACTTAACTGTAAAGTAAATATGTTGAAATAATTTTGTAGGAATCTGGTAAGCCAAAATCTGTATACTTTACAATTTATATGCCCCTTTAACAAGTTTGTTTTCCTTTTTTAAACCTGAGAATGTTTATTTTGACCTTATTTGATGAAATATTTTAGGTATTTTTAGAAACAAGGGAACAAATGATCCGTCAAATTTAGCTGGTAGAATTTCTTTTATAACAAAGAAATGTTTCATCTTATAATACTCCGTATTAAATCATGCTACTGACACTTTTCATAATTCGTCAATTGATTACGTTCACCTCTGAAGATTAAACTATTAGTTTCCAATTTCACGAGGATTGGTCTCAGACTTTGCTTGCACTTTTGGGGTTAATGTATTATAAGGTCGTCAATCCCCTGTGACCGAATCACCCAATACTAATAAACTGGATTAAAAATTAAAATCCAGCAATCTTTTCAGATTTCGATTTCACCTGATTCAGTAAACATGAACCATATCTAAATAGACCACGTAATGGTTCTTTTTACGTACTGTTCTTTACTATTGGAGTGTATTAGTGCTTTATGACTCATTTAAATTTAATTTTTGTTCTTTTTCCCTCTCCTTTTTTTTCAAGAGATAAAATTTATGTAAAAAACAGTACATGACTTTATATTTTGTTTTTACAATCAAGTTAAAAAAATAAATCAAAAAGTATATAAATCCGAGCGTTGTCCCAGATAAACGCAAACCTTTTAAATATTTCATAAAGTAACAGACCAAAATTATTCATTTTTAGCTCACCTGAGCTGAAAGCTCAAGTGAGCTTTTCTGATCACCCATTGTCCGTCGTCCGTCCGTCCGTCTGTCTGTCCGTCCGTCCGTCCGTCCGTCCGTCTGTCCGTCTGTCCGTCCGTCTGTAAACTTTTCACATTTTCATCTTCTTCTCAAGAACCACAAAGCCAATTTTAACCAAAGTTGGTGGAAATCATCCTTGGGTGAAGGAGAATTTAAATTGTTGAAATGAAGGGCCTAGCCCTCTTCAAAGGGGAGATAATCAAGAAAAGACAAAAATAGGGTGGGGTCATTAAAAAATCTTCTTCTCAAGAATCACTGGGCCAGAAAAGCTGAAACTTATGTGGAAGCTTCAGGAGGTAGTGTATATTTTAAATTGTTCAAATCATGACGCCTGGGGACAGGGTGGGGCCACAATAGGGGTTCCAATTTTTACATGGAAATACATAGAAAAAAACTTTTTCTTGAGAGCTACTGGGCAAAAAGTGACGAAAATTCTCAGAAAACTTTCAGACATATAGTGCAGATTCTAAGATTGGTAAATAAATTATTTTTGAAAGACCAATATATGTATATATATTGCAGTCGCACCGTTTTTCGTAGTCGATTTTTTGGATCGGGTTCGGTATTCCGAATATCACAATATCCGATATTAGAACGAGGCTCTTTGTTCGTTACATCCACGTTGCGTGAAAGAGAACACATCCAGTTTTGCCTGTTGTTTTTCCTGTTATTGTCCGTTCATTTGTAGAGGTAATATTTTAAACTTGCATAAACATCGAAGAGATTTAATGAGGTAATATTTTAAACATGCGTGAAACATCGAAGAGATTCAATGAGGGAGATGCGATATTTTCATTCGCTATTTTCGGTTAACTACACTTTAAAAAAAAAAAAAAAGCTTTCAAATTTTGCATAACAGACGATTTTATATACTTAGCTATACATCTTAACTCGTGTGTGCGCAGATACCTAGATATTCACAATGCTGTTTTAAAGAATGCTGGTT